TTCCCTACAAAATTAGTTTTGATGTAATTTTTAAGGTGAGTTTGAGATATACAAGTTATCTCAACCTGTCACATGTTCTTTTAAAATATATTTTTTTAACAATAGAGTATTAATAATTAAAATTTTTATTAATAATACTTTGTATAACACAATGTTATATTTATAATAAAATCATTAATATTGATCTAATAGTAAAATGTTAAAGTAATATGTAAATGATTCTAAGTTCGATTCCTGATGTTGTCTTTATAATTTCAATGAATCAAAAAATATTATATTTATATGAAATTATTTATTTAATTTAAAAAATATACCATAAAATATATCTGAATTTAAATTTTATATCTCTCTTCTTTTATAATTTAATTATGCATAATATTAATATTAATATATTATGTTAAAACGTCATATTAATTTAATCTCACCTCATATTTTGAGTGTCGATCCAATCGGTTAGTAACATCCTGTTTAAAGGTGTCACATGGTTAAACTCAAATAAATAATTGGATCAAAATTTTGAATAAACAAAAATAAAGATAAAATTTCCGCAACTGGTTTCTTACTCTCCTCTAGGGACGACTCATCTGTGTTCCACCACACAAATTACTTCTCCTTGTCAAAAGGGTCAGTAACTCAATACCCAAAGGTAGGGTCGTGCTAGTTTTCTCTATAGGACACACATGTTGTGTCCTTTAGGACTCAGCACTGCCAGTGTATATATAACCTATAACCCTCTAGGGTCCTTTTGGTAACGTTTCTGTTAGTCATACTTAAGACTGTGGTAAGTCATAACTATGAACTATAAAGCAAGCAGCTTCCCCACTCACCATAAATAGTTCAAAACAATCCCTGTCTGTCCTGAACAGGAATTCTTTCCCCCCTCTCCAGAACTTGTTTGAGCCATGTTTCACCAACACACACCTTTTACCACCCTACATTGTAGGACCCAAAACCAATGCCTACCTCACCTACTTACTTTACCCTTTTTTTATTATTATTATTTGGATTTTTTATCAAGTCCAATCACTAGCTAACCCCAGCTCATTTTCACTCTAGTTAAGAACATAATAGGATTTACTAAATGCTCTTATGCAAATAATTGGATAATACTCTGAAATGTTTGAAAAGACTTCAAATTATGCATTTATTTAACATAATTTGTGCATTTTTCTTTTCATGCTCATTTCAATAAGAAGTGGTAGAGATTTTTCACTTTACCCCTTTATACATTCTGTACAATATTTTATTATATATTTCTGGGTCAGAGGTTAATAAATTGTTGGCAAGATGATGAACATATATGAGTGGACAAGTATAGCTGGGGATTTTCATATGCACAAGTAAGCATAATTAGAGTTCTATCTACTCACATCGTGAAAGCCGGAGCAACATGTGCTTGTGCTCTACCTTTGTCTCTCTGTCCCTGACTAGTGACTACAAACATTTTCTCTTTTTTCTGCCGAATAAGTATTCATTTTGGCTCTGAATACTGGTCTTTTAAAATTAAAAAATTGCAAATTTAATCTTTGAAACGTCTGATAAATTTTTAAATTTAATTATTTATTGTCATTTTAATCTCTAAATTTATATTAATATTTTCACTTTAATAAAAAAAAATATGTTATCACTTTGATCATTTAAAAAAAAAAAAAAAAATTGGACTTATATAGCTGTAAATTTACGATTTTAAAATCTAATTTTATAATTCTATAATTTCATATACTAATATGATAATGGTTTACAAATATAAGGATCAAAGGAAATGTTTACTATTTTTCAGCGAGTTACTACTTACAAGCACTATTTTCAGCTTTTAACTTGCTTTTTCTATTTTTATGCCTGCAATCACTCTTTGTGGAGCAGAACAAATACTGATCTTGCAGCATTGTAGTGTCTACCACAAGGATGGAACTACTAAACCACTTTACAGCAAGATACGATACAGATTCTTCAAGCTTGTCCGTGTGACCCAACAGATAGAGGGTTTCAATCAATTTGAAATAAATAGCTATTTTAGATGTTGTCTCTTTGTCCAAATCATGGGGGTCCCTTTGTGATTGTAAAAGGGTTTCAAGAAAATTTAAAAATTTTGCAACATAAAAACGCTGCTTTTGGGGGGTAAAGATACCCCCAACAAAGACACCTGAAAAGAAAAATTTACAACTTTGGTTTCTTTGGTTTTGGGTTTTATTTTTAATTTAAAGAATAAGCTTATTTACATGTAAATTTCCTTGTAGATTCAATATTTAACACAGCTTTTAATAGGTAAAGTAATATTTGTTTAGCAAAAACAAAACATTAATACAAGATAGTGGTTCAAGTGAACTTTGGTTTAACATGTTCTTTTCTTGAAAAGAAGAGCTAAATGCTTGATTGGACCTTAAGCTCTTTTCTTTTCTCCTTTGAAAGCAACATCCAAATGAAATGAAGGGGAAAAAAAAACACAAATAACATGCATTGTTGTTCTCTTTTAACAAACAGTGGATAACCTTAGGAAGAAAAGCACAAACCGTACATAATAAAGCCAGGCAACTAATGGTCTATTTCGTCCTTGGATTTAGAC